AAGAGCGGCTTGAGCAAGTACGTGGCGAAGACGAGCGCCACGATGTACTGCGAGGAGGGCCGGATGATGAGCAGCTCGATCCAGAGCTTGAGAAAGGCGGGCAGCGAGCCGTAGACCTCGAGCATGTAGGCGTAGTCGCCGCCCGACTTGGTGATGGTGGTGCCGAGCTCTGCGTAGCAAAGCGCGCCCACGATGGAGAACACGCCGCACACGGCCCAAACCACCAGCGCCAGCCCCGGCGAGCCCGCCTCCTTGAGCACGCCGGTGGGCGTCACGAAGATGCCCGAGCCGATGATGGTGCCCACGATGATGGCCACGCCATTGAGCAGCGTGATGTTGCGCTTCAGGGTCACACCCTCGCCCTCCGCGCAATCCGCGCGCTGCGCCGCCAGCATCCGCTCCCGCGCCTGCCGCTCCTCCTCCTCGGCCGCCGCGGGGGCCGCAGCCGCGCGCCGCTTCGGGCCCGAGCCCGCCATGCTGCCGCGCCGGCCGCGCAGGACTGGGCCGGACAGGGCCGGACACGGGGCGCTCGCCTCCCAACGGACAGAAGCCGCTTTGCCGGCGTGGCCGCTACGTTAACCGGCTCCGCGCTGCGCTTTTTATACGCCGCCGCCGGCCCCGCCCGCCAGGCCCCGCCCTCTGCCCGCGCCGCCCGCCCTGCCCTGCCCTGCCCGCCGCCGTTTACTCGCCTGGCTGGGGTTCGGTACCCGCCTCTGTTGAGAAGCACCGGCCGGCCCCGCCCCGCGCACGTGGAGCTCGCGGTGTCCCGCGGAGCATGGCGGGCGGTCCGGGCCCCACGTGGTTCCGGGGATCCCGGCTCCGCCCCGCGCACGTGGAACGCTGGGCTCCTTGCCCTCCTAGCTAGCTCCCTTGTCGCCCCCGCCCCCTCTCCCGCGGTGGCCCCTCCCGCGCACTGGGGACCCCGCTGCTCGTGTGGGAGCGGGCGGTGCAGCAGGGCCGACCTGGGGCCACAGCACAGGATGGATGGGATTTGGGACGCCTTTGCGGCTCAAAGAAGGCATGCTTGTTCCGCTGGCGGGCGCCCAGCCCCGAGGTGGTAGGAGCCCTCGTGGTCTGCTCACCCTGGGGACTTGAGAAGCGTTAAGATGATCAGAACCACCTCTCCTCGGGGGGGAGCTAGAGAGCCTGAGGTCCTGAATCCCAGGCTGAATGAGTGCGATCTCAGAGAAGAGGGAAGCGCTGAGGCCACATCTGAACTCATTCCTGGGCTCAGAAATTCTCATTTTATCCCAAGGGGAACCTCCTTGCCAAAGAGCAGCATTCAGGGGCTCACAGATTTGAGAGGTAGCGACACAGACTCTGGGAAACCAGGAATCTGCAGAAAGTCAGTTAAATTGACAAAATGGGGGCTCCCTCCCCCAAATCTACCTGGAAAATCCAAAGGCAGGCTGCAGGGTGAAGGGGCTTTAGACTTAAAGAACTCCAGAGGCTCCTGGATAGGAGGGGCAGCCAGGTAACTAGGGGTCAGAATGGGGAATGCAGGATGACCAGTCACCCCAGGCCTGGAAGCAGGAAAGAATCAGAAACACTACCTGATGGGCTTCCCAGGTGGCGCAGTGGTTGAGAGTCCGCCTGCCGATGCAGGGGACACGGGTTCGTGCCCCGGTCCGGGAAGATCCCACGTGCCGCGGAGCGGCTGGGCCCGTGAGCCATGGCCGCTGAGCCTGTGCGTCCGGAGCCTGTGCTCCGCAACGGGAGAGGCCACAGCAGTGAGAGGCCCGCGTACCGCAAAAAACAAAAAACAAAAAGGAATACTACCCGATTAAACTGACATGTACACAGGGAAAGAATTTAGAATCCCATCGCAGGTGAGTGTAGCCAAGGCATGTCATTTGGACCTTCCACGACCCCCCCACTCAACCCCCCCTTAAGAGGCCAGCCCTTCATCTGCAGTGCTTCAACCAAATGAAATCTTGGCAGCTGGAAGGTCACACAACACAAATATTAGCTTTCAAGATGCCTAAGTTGGTGGCTTAGGGGGAATCAGAAATAATCTCTCCGCTCCTTTTCTTCCCACTGTCCTTTCCAAGGGTGCTGCTTGGCAGAGACCAGATGACCAAGGGCTGAGCAAACTTCCTGAGCCTTTATCAGGTGCTGTGCTGAGCCCTCGGCATGCAAAGCCTTGTCTAATAGAGGAGGTGCCGTTGCACGAGGAAACTGAGGCTTAGCAGAGCAATGGAACTTGTCTGACCAGGACCCTGAACCTCCATGGTGTACTTCTGGTTGTTCTGCCACCCCTCTTCTTGTGGTTTATTTACCACTAAATACATCTTAGGATGTATTTTGCTTTCACGAGGATGGCAGTTATTTGGCAATGCTCTAAGGAGAGGTCCCAAGCACCTCCACCCTGTATTCCCACATCTGACACCTGCAGGTGCCGGCCACTGCACCGGGCTCCAGGCAAGTGGCAGTGAGTACCTCCTCCAGACACAGAGAAGCAATCAATAATTGCACACGAGAGTGTAAAATGAACAACTGTGATAAGCCAAGGGCCCTAAGGGGCCAGAGAGCCGGTCGGAAGGAACCAGGACACTCCAGTCCAGCTTTCCTAGAGTGAGAATTAACAAGGGAGGCAGAAGGAGCGGAACATGCACGTGGACTGTTGGGGCCTCCCATGGGGGCTCCTGGGAAGCTGCAGGAGACTTAATAGCTGGAAGGTGACAACACCGCAGGAGTGTCTCTACCATCCCACAGCAGATACACCACCACTGTCAGTTTCTGCTTGGTTTTCATATGATACCGTACTAGATTTCCAAGGGCAAACTTGCTTTGAAATATATATATATATATATATATATATATACACATATACATACTTATACATGTGTGTATATGTACACGTATGTGTATATCTCAGAATTCCCTGATACAAGTTAACCGAAGCCGTAAAACGCCTTACTGGAAATCTCTCTAAAATCTTAGCTAAGAGCACCATCTAGTGGTAGAATGACAAAGGAGCTATTTGTCCGAGGCAGGTTCAATCCGCTCACTCTGCCTTACTCTTTCCAGTGCTAACCAGTAATTTCTTAAAAGTTGTGTCATTTATGACCCCTTTGGGGGAGCGCCTTTCTCCTGTTTGGAGGCTCAGTGGCTCTGGTTCCAATCCTGAGAGAGAGAAGCCCATCACAGGAAGATAGGGTGGATGTTGGGCCAATGTAGGAGCTGCCTTGAAGCTTTTTCTGCACGTTCTCTGAACTCTGTTCTGTTACCTCCAAACCTTCAGTGATTTTTTCGGATTCTTGATGGAAAAACGTGGGCTGCAGAAAACGGGTAGGGGGTTGGGGAAATGGGTGAAGGTGGACAAAAGGTACAAACTCCCAGATATAAGGCAAGACCTTATGTTGCAATATAAACAAATATCAAATCATTATGTCATACATCTAAAACTAACACAAGGTTATACGTCAGTAAAACTGGGGGAAAGGAGATGGGAGGGGGATTTCATGGCAGCAGTATAAACCATGGGCTTGAGAGTCAGACTGCCTGAGTTCCCACCTGGGCCCCGCTGCATACCAGCTGAAGGAACTTGGGCAAACCCTATGCCGCTCTGGGCCTCAGTTTCACTTTCTATAAAATGGGAATAATAGTACCTACTACAAATGAACTGATATATGTAAAGCACTCAGATCAGTGTCTACCCCCCCAAAAAACAACTTGATAAATAGCAGCCCCGAGTAGTAGTAATAGTGTCTATAAAATGGCTGGAAAATCGAAGACATTTACACCAAAATGGTAACGGCAGCCAGTGCGGAACTGCACTGACTCTCATGCACGCAGAGGGGCTGGTGGCCCAGGCTCCAGAAGGAAGCTCTGGTGGGGTCAACCCAAGCCTTGGCTTCCACATCTGCAGACGGGGGCGAGAAATAGTACCACACTGTTTGAGGTTTAAGTGAGACGAGGCGTGTACAACCTCTCAGGCAGCGCCAGAGTAGAGAGTGAGCACCCTGCCCCCTTTGACTAGGTTGACCTGTGTCATCCTTCTGTCTCACTGGTGAAGAGGCAGAAAGTTGGGAAGTGGGTAAACAAGACAGTTCTTTGCATGCTGTTGCAATCTCGGCCTTCTTACCGCTCAAGGTTTGTGGTTTTGAACCCTCCGAAGAATCCAAGGGTGATGGCCTGGAGTATGTATAGTCCTATTACGTCCTGGCCCTCCTTTTTTTTTTTGCGGTACGCGGGCCTCTCACTATTGTGGCCTCTCCCGTTGCGGAGCACAGGCTCCGGACGCACAGGCTCAGCGGCCATGGCTCACGGGCCCAGCCGCTCC